ATTCATTAAACTGATTCATAAATTTCAGAAGAGTCTATTTTAAATCTCTAAGCTTGATGGAATTTTGTTTTCTGAGCCGGATGGTTTAGTCATGAGCATAGTACGCCTCTCGCTGCTGGAAAACTGGAGAACTTTACCAAATGACAGGCTTCCACTCGAGAATTACTCTTCTTCAGCATGTTCTACCATCAAGTGTAAGATACGAACCTCCAATCAACTACACACGACTAGACCATTCAACTCAAAGAAAATAACTCCATCAATGTTATTTTTAAATTCTGAACATCTTAAATTCTATTTTATTAATATTAGTCTTATTGAGATGTAGAATTTTTCTTTTTTACACATCGATGTAGACAAGAAATTAGTGAAATAAATTACTTTTCATTGAGATCATGAATCGATGAATGTTAGACCACCATTTAAAACCTGGAAGCACTGGACGATCATTTCAGCAGCAGCGCGCATCCACGATCTCGCATGAGACATTTGAACTCAGGACCTTCCGTCTTTCACGCGAATGGTTAATCTCTAGACCACTGAAGCGGTATCCAACCTTGTTAATGTCTAACTTCAACCAATCCACGGAAATGAGAGACCATCTTCCATTGTATTGAGGTAAATACGTGTCTCTATCTGATATCGATTATCTTCATTGATCACAGCTTCTCACTAGAACTTCGTGGATTTGCACTGCTGAGGAGTCTCATACTAGGACATAACGGCTGTTCAGTGCTTCCAAGTTTTGAACGATGGTCTAACATTAATCGATTCACGATCTCATTCAAAAACGTAACGTTTTACCATTCTTGAATTATGCCCTGTCTATTAACCACTGCCTTCCATATTCACAGCCCCATTTGGCCAAACTTTGTACAAATGTTATTTTATATTTTATAGTACGTTGTGATCTGTTTGATTGGCATATAAACCTTGTATGTTTGAAATACATGATTCATAGTGCAGAGGCTAAAATTGATGTTGTGGACTTAACTGGCTGTGCTAGACAAGAAGCAGGACTATTAAAGACTCTAGACTACTCGTACGTGCTTTATATGTCATTGATAATTCACTACTCCCTAATTGGCGGTATCGTTACGTCATCCATTACCAGGGCACTCAGGCCACAAGTTATAACAAATAATTTCACAGTATTTGGGCGCTGAGTTGATGTGAGACATTAAAGAGTAAGAATATATTTGTAAAATCTTAGCAAATGAATTTAAAGTAAATTCAATATTTCACTTGGTAATCTGGTTCAAACTTCTGATGTTTGATTATAATTCCTCGAAAAATCTTGAACTAGATTGCTAAGCGAAATGTTGAATTTACTTCGAATTCATTTGATGAGATTTTCGACGAATGTTCTGGATTATCCCAACAAGTTTGTGAGACGAAATTAAAACTGTTATAAAGTTAAAAAAATATTTTTACAGGATTGATGATTTTTTCCTGAGATGATCATCAAAGTTTTCTCCTGCTAAAAGTCGAAAAACGCGTTTGTATGACTTCAGAGAATATACACATCCAAATATATTCATATTGTTGTAAATAGTTTTTTAGACGTCTTCGCTTAGCTTTCAGGATATTCATGTGAACTCCTTTAGTTGGAGAGATAAAATGGTGTGCGTACATAATTATTTTGTGATTATGAGCATATCTTCAAAGTGACTTGTATGTTTGCTAATCATACATATGAGTTGAGGTTCCCGATAGAATATATATATATATATATATATATATATATATATATATATATATATATATATAACTTATTTGATTTATTTACGCCTGTTACTCCCAATGGATCATAGGCCGCCGACCAACATTCCCTAACCTACTCTGTCCTGGGCCTTCTTTTGTAGTTTCATCCAATTCTTGTTCATTTTTCTCATGTCTATCTCCATTTTCCGGTGTAGTGTGTTCTTTGGTCTTTCTCTTTTCCTTTGACCTTGAGGACTCGATGTGAGGGCTTGTCTTGTGGCGCAGTTGGGTGCTTTCCTCAATGTGTGTCCTATCCACTTCCAGCGCTTCTTCCTGATTTCTCCCTCTGTTGGGATCTGGTTTGTACTTTCCCACAGTTGGTTGTTGCTGATTGTGTCCGGTCAACGGATCCGAAGTATTTTGCATAGAAAACTGTTAATAAACGCTTGTATCTTTTGGATGATGGCTCTGGTTGTCAGTAGGGACATCGGCCTCGTGACTTTCGAAGGAACTCGGCTTTCACCATGAAACGTCATAATTCTTCTAAATGAAGACATTCTAACTCTCAGGGCAGAGTTTAAATGGTTTGAATTATTTTTTCTGGTAAGCGTTTTTTTAGCGAGTTAGTTTTCTACGGGATGCGGTTGCTAACCCCATGCCCAACCCTCCTCCTTTATCCGGTCTTTGGACTGGCAGTAGCCCCCGGAGGGACTCCAGGGGGAGTTATATGTATATATATTATCGAAGCTTTCATATTGAGGAATTTCTTAAAATTCCTTCTTGGAGACATTTATCCCTGGGAAAAACGTACAAACGATTTATTTGGGAATTAGTTAGTACACTGTCTTTAAACGTCTGTCAAGCACTTGGTTCATGGTATTTTTTTAATGTTATTCTATTTGTAAGCTGTAAATTAATCCATTAACTATTGTGACTTTATAAGCAACTTTGGATAGTGACTAGCAGTGGAACACAAAACGTGCATTTTGTTCTATTGGGAATCGGGGTGTATCTACATCTCAGATTTGATAATCAATCGGGGACTCGAACCCAGTAGGATTAACGACAGACACCATCAATTAGCTACTGGGTCCATCTTTACTTACAATGCTTGTGAATTAAGTCAATATCGAGGCAATACACATAATATGCATATATGTCAATAAGAGATTGATCAATTCCAATCCTAAACATCAAGTGGAAATTTCGAGTAAACAATACCAATTGAATTTATTGTGACATTGGTTACTATTCATTAGATTGAAATCAGATAATCAAATATAGGTATGTTAATCAACCATTTATCACAAATCTCCTGACTATGTACATAGTGAGATCTATTGGTTACGTTCCATTGTGGTTTTGAATCTTGTGTATAAAATCACGTGAATTCATATTGTGGTGTGTGCTACTTATTTCGGCAGATATAAATGGTATGTATCGTCAATAGAAAGTGAAATGCTCGACAGCAGAAGGTTAAGAAGGTCAAATAAAAGAGAACAAGAACAGAGAATGATTGCTGTGAAAATGAAGGAACAGTGAAGTTTGAGATGATTGATTGACATTTTGTAAATGAAGTATTTACTGTATGGTTCTCAGATTTTACTAAGATATTCTGTAATTTTGTGTTCAAATGCATTCGACTGTCCCCACTTGTGTATTCGTTTACTAGAATTTGTCAAAAAATGATTATTAGATACTTTACTGGTTTTTCTAGTGTTATGATCAATGGATTTAAAATGGGTGAGCTTTGCGTTAGTAATCACTAATTAACGCATAAAGTAAGAGTATTGTTAACTCTGTATCTTTCATACAGTTAAATTCACAATACTTTATGCATCATTTTCTGTGCATAATTACGTAATCATACCTATTTCATATAACTCCTCCTGGAGTCCCTCCGGGGGCTACTGCCGGTCCCAAGCCCGGATAAAGGAAAGGGTTGGGCATGAGGTTAGCGACCCCATCCCGTAGAAAACTAACTCGCTAAAAAAGCGCTAACCTAACCTATTTCATATATATACTTAATGATACTGTCTTCGGTAACATAGTCAATAACGTTATCTACAGTCTATGTCATTCTTTCAATTCTTTGAAATCATCCTATCAGTTCTGATTCATTCATTCCTATAACGAAGGTCAACTGTACAATATAGTAATGAATTGACATTTATTCTAATTCAAACACATATATTCAGTGATCAATAATATTTGATGGTGAGACTATAATTTATAAATGAACCAATCAGATTTTGGAGCGAAATTCACACATTCATTCGTTCGAATATCGTCTTGGCATTTTAGCTGATGTCAGTTCATGATTAAAAATACACAACTGTAAATCGAATTCCTAACCCTAATCATCAATTGTAAGTCATAATCCTTATTCTTCAAACTACGGTGAGACTAATTTATAGACGAGTCAGTCAGAAGCGTTTTAGAGATTTCAAGGTTACGGCCCCAACTTCAGTGCTTAATGCTAACGTACGATCGGTTCACAGGGAATTTTGTACAAAACGTGATAATTGAGAGGCTGTAACAAATAAAACGGCGGGACTATAATTTGTGGACGAATCAATCAGGTATGAGATGATAGATTTAGTATCTTAACGCAGTTTTCCATGCATTTGGCTAAATAAATTTCTGTCATTATAGCTGATGTCAGTTCGTGATGAAAACCTCATATATAATTCCTAACTAAGGCAGATTACGACAATTATTGCGAACTGGATAATAAAAGCACCAGTAACACTGGCTGCACACAGGTACTACAATATATACGGATGTTTTGGGAGCTTACAGACTCCTACATAGGCTTGGTTATGTGCATCTTGTCGTTATCCAAAAGTAGCATTTTTTTCACTCAATAAACGGAGTGCACAAACAATATTGAAGCTATGTGGTCGAGGGTGAAAGAGTTTTTGAGACTTTATCATGGCTCCAGAGGCCGACTATTCTGTAGCCATATGGATGATTTCCTCTACTGCATGCATTACGATTTTAGAACGTCTGAACCTCTTACTAACCTTGACAATTTTTTCAACCATGTAAAAGAAGTGTATCCACTTCATTTCCTTGGTTTTGTATAACATATACTGACTATTTGCTGATTGGCCAATATTTCTCAAGGTTACTTAAGATTCGTTCAAAGGTCGTCCATAAACTAGAGTCTCGCCTAAACTACTTCATAACCATCGTTTAACCCTAGTAATTAAGTAGCTACTCTCAAGATCATTTTGGCATCGTTCATCTATCATTATCATTATCGTCTTCTTTTTTTTCTTTTATTTTAATAGGCTGATAAATCTTATCAAAATGCTATTGATGGTATACAATCTAATAATGATGAATATAATACAACCATTTATATTGAGCCAACTACTGGTCTTATTATAAAAGCTCAAATTAAATTACAAATTAATATTGTGATTAGAAATAATAAAAAAATCAGACAATTATCTAATATTTCAAATGTTTTATTACCTTTAGTATATTTCAATGAATCTGTCCATTTAAATGAAACAATCACTCATCAAATAAATATGTTACTTATTCAATTGCCAATGATTATTCAAATTGTTTTAATCAGTAGTATTGTATTCAATGTTCTATGGTTATGTTCAATTATATTTAAATTATTTAAACAAAACAGATATAATTTAAATGATCAAAGAATCAATGAAGAAAATCAGTGGTTATTAAGTCATCATTGAGAAGGTGTCAAGGAAAAGTTTATATATATATATATATTTCATGTAAATACTGTAAACCATATGATAAATCAGAATTCATCAATTGTTCTATTCTATTGTTTTCTTCATGTTTCTAATATTTCTAATCTCATAAATAATAATCAATAAATCATTTGTTTTCAATGTAATGATATTTTACATGTGTAGCGTGGTGTCGAGTCCCAGTTGACTATGAACACCACTACAAAGAAACACGTGCCAAATAAATCAGAAGGTGAATGCGGATTAGAATCAAGTTTATTTCTTTGGCGATCTCGTGGTATTGAATGAATACCGAGATCGTGCCAAGAAAAAGTACAAGCGGAATCGGCAGGAGAAAGTACGTGCGAACGGGGTCACGAACCGCGAAACAGTAATGGAAAATAAAGGAGGAGCCATATGGCTGTATTTAGCACAGTAAAACAACCATTGGTACGATTGGTTATAATAATAATTGTTTTCATTAAATTAATCGCGTTCTCTTGATAAAAGTGGGTCACTACACATGATTGAATTCATCATGAATTGACTTTAATTGATTTATTATTCGAAACTAGAAAGCACTGAATAGTTGCAACTTGATCGATATGATTTGATCTACACTAAGAAGAATCTGACATACAAGACATTGATCACTACTCAGTGATCTGTCGATTTTAAATCCAGTTCAGTCTTACAGGAGGACAGTCGTGGCCTGGATAGCTTGTAGTGGCATTGGGCCATAACCACACAATCCTCAAAGCTGAACACGAGACAACTCGGAAAATAGATATTCAATATTTAGCGCGGAGAAATTCCTAACGATGGAATAGGCGGGAACAGTTAATTGGATGAATTGGAGTTGATCGGATGGCAGGCGTGGTCCCTCTGCATGTTACCTTGTATCTTCTATTCATATTAAATATATTGTTCCTTCTCTAGCTCAACCCTGTTCTACATCATGTATTTGTAATTGATACGATACAGTGAGTTGGTGTGGTCGATGGTGTGACTTCCACGTAAGATCTTATAGATTAGGCAGTTATATCATGACAAATCTACAATGTTAGGATTAGGTCTATTGTTAGAGCAGTACTAATATCATAGTAGACCATAATTCTACAAGCTCAGTGGTAGCGTCTCTGACTGCGAAGCTGGGTGACGTGTGATTGAATCCGTCAGGGAGAATCAGTTCCCTTAAGATTGCAGTTACAATTTGCTGACTAGTGCCAAATAGCAAAAAACTTGGGTTTAGGTTTTTCTGTTGATTACCTACAACCAACATTTTATCTCAGCATGGTACACGCAATGTTGAATCACCTAGACCAGTGGCCACATTGCAATTTGGTCGATAGTATTCGATCTGTACTAAGAAGAACCTGATATACATGACAGTAGTCACCATCCAATAGTCAATCAGTTGTAAATAGGTTTTCTATTTTCGACTTAAATCAGCATCAATATCAGGCCATCAACAAGTCTAATCAGCAAATGAACGAAATAAGGGTTGTCTAATGCCGAAGATCTAGATCCAAAGGGAATGATTAGTCTATTATCAAAGCATAAAAAAAATTCAGCATATGACAATATGTTTGTACTGAATATTCCAATCTTTTTTCATCAAATTTATGATAGTTATGAAATATTATCGCACACCCTTCGCACATTGTGCTGTAAAAAATGTAACGAACGAATCAACTGTGGTATTTGTATTAACTGATAATTTCTTCGTACTTGATTGACCGCTTATTACGAATTCCAAATATAATACGTCCATTATTGCTCATCTACTTCTGCCGGCCTTAAATCACACTGTTTCAGGAATTCTTAGGTAACATATTATTTTGAATACTTGTCATTATTATTCCAACATACAATCACTTTCGTTAGGTGGTATTTCGAGTCACGAAGAGCGTGATAGAAAGTTTGAATGTGAAAAGCTTTTAGCCACTCAGTGCTTAATGGTGAAATTGAAAGCACTCAACTCTAGATTTCATTTCTGGACTATGACAGCGGATGACATATGAATTGACTTAGTTGAGAGATAAATAGATTTTAGCTCCTAGTGATCAGTTACAGTGTACAACTTTACACTAAATGGGTATTTATACAGTCTCTTTACTACCCACATCACAGCTAAAGCCTGCTTTTGGGTCCGGAAACGTCCTCGTTCATTCTTGCTTAATCTTCTCGAAATAAAAATGAGAGGTTTCCCATTCTGTTTTAGGATAGCACCTAAGTTCAGTAAAGATATATCTGTAGTTAGGATAGATTTTTCGGTCAGTGAAAACAGTCAGAGGAAAGCTTTACCATTCAAATATTACAGAGTGTCCCTAATATATCCTCATCCCATTTTCCACAAACAAGCACTTTGCTAGAAACCATGTCGAGAAGTGAAGATTATATTTCTATAGAGTTAAAAAGAAACCTGGAGTAAAAGTAAGGGACGCCAACACATGATTTAAGATATTCACAGGTGGTGGTACTTACATCATTAAAGCTAGGCGACTCATATCAGGTTTAAAAACCTTAGGATCTACATTATAATGAAGTTGAAACTGACACTTGGATGACTTTACGGCCACATTTGTATCACAGAAGCGTCCGAATAACCTTAAAAAACGTTAAATACGCAACTCAATGTTTTCAGCATGACCTACGATATGATTCTGATACGGGTCAACACCAAGACCGATGATAATCTGATGTATAACATTCTGGAATATGCTAGGCGAAATATTGAATCCAAGCGGTAGGAAATTGCACATTAATAGTAGTTATTTACTCTAGATTTCATGCACTGTGATTTGCTATACGCACCTTTCAGGTGTATTTTAGAAAAAAAATATGTCGTGATTTATATAGAATATCTCCAGTTTATTCAGTGGTGCAACTCTGTTGCAGTAGCCGAGTATTCAGTGACAGGCGGTAACCACCAAAAATTCTAGATGTTTTTCCATCCCCCTTTAATGGAATCCCTATGAGAGTAGCTCAAATGAACGACTTAACTGAGATCATTGTCTCTTTTCCAATCACTTTATCTAGCTCATTCTTCACACCTTATCTTGAACCATGTAGGATTAGTCTACGCTTCGGGAAGATTTACTCTCCCTTTACTTCTATGTGTACTGGGTGAATTATCATACTCCCCCACAGCCCTCGAGCATTTTAAGACTAGACCCTTGATTAACGTACTGTAGGAAGAGTTAGTTCATAAAGAAATTAGTACACGCAGCAATCTTAAGTCCTTTAACCCAAGTAAAGATGGACCATACTCACTAACCAGTAAAAGAAATATTGACACGACCACCCTCCTTTTTTCTGAATGGAATATCAACTCTACCAATAATTGGTATTTGTTGGTCAGTGATGCCAGCATCTCCATTATTTAAGAGTTTAAAATTGATATCATCATAAAGAAACAGTAAATTTCTCTTAGAAATGATTAACTCCATGCTTCTAGTATCGACAATAAACGAAAGGAAGTTGCCTGTGTTGGTAGTTAATTTTTGCATTAAATGTGAAGTACTGCTTCAGGCGGCATTAGGCGACAACGAATCCATCCTTCTCTCAAAACTAGTTGATCTTGATCCATCATTTTTCAGTGTTTTAGTATTAAACGACTTTAAACTGTCACAAAACTTTCATGTATGTCCAACCTTTCCATATTTACGGTGACGTGCATAACAAAATAGACATGAACTACAAATATGTAGCCTGTCACATAGAAGACAAGTTTCGCCAGGTTCACAAGGTTCTCAACCTCAGTGAATTTGGAATGTAGGGTGACAATCATCTTAATTTATGAGTGACGTGATTAACTTCACTAGTTATGTCTGCTCGAAAAGGTTCCAAGAAACTCATCTTGTAACTAGTTGTAATTCTATAACTATCCAGTGTGTATTGAATAGTACTATATCGAGCCTAAATGAGCTGTACTAGCTTTCGGACAGACCAGTTAATTTGTTCTTCCCAAGTCACTATCCGTGGTTGTATAAGTGAAGCGGATTGGAATATTTGAAAAGCTAGTAAATAGCAGGGCTTAATTTAATCAGGATCATGCAAGATGAGGCCCAACGTTGGTTGAGATTTGTGGACAAGAAACTGCTGTAGTTTTGGAAAATTCCCCAGAATCACTAATGCGACGGGCTTTCAATAATGACGTTGCCCGTGTTGGTTTTATCAAGGTTACCTAACTGAAGTTGTGGCTAGATAGTCATATTGAGTCGCTGTACAATTCGTTTAGCGCACTTCCTCCATAAACTTAATACTGAGTCTGTCAGTTTGACACTCGTCTCCATTTGTGTTCAGTATTTATGAAACGATATTTTCAGGGAATAGTTTGCCAATGCAACATTAACTTACAGACAAATATACTACTTTCTCCAAATGTTATCGTTTCCTTCCTGACTAGTTCTCTGAAAGGTTAATGCACTTCATTTGAGCACAAATTTTAAGTGAAATTAACACCAGCATGGGTCGATATTTCTATACCAAACAATCTTTATATTTGTATTATCAGTGAAATAACACTGAAGCTTAGAAATATCTTCTGTCCGTTCGAACATTTTTTCAGAAAGCGTTTATTTATTCGTCAGAGATAATAAGGAAGTGGAATCGCATAGATGCCAGCATACGGTTGGTCAAGTTAAGAAGTCACTGAATGATGCAACTCGGATTTAATATCATATGATAGAATCACAGTTCAACTCTAGTGATCGGATACCAGTAATAAAATAACATAATCGGGATTGATTAGTTTTATTATCTGGTCAATGGACGATGCCTGACATATCTCTGCTGCACTGTTCACGGGTTACAACACATCAAGCCGGCGTATGATAACAGATTTGCTACATGCTGAAAAGTACACAGTGACCTTAGAGTGGTAGTGAGAAACCAAAGAAACACGTAAGTTAGTTGAAAAACCACCACCAAAAAATAAAACGTTACATAAGTAACGAGATTCTGGCACACTGAGATACCGAATATCACTGCGACAGTAAAACTCCATTTCTCACAAAAACAATGCAAATGATAACCTCTGTTCAGCTTTGTTTGGTAGCTAGTTACAAAGTCCAAATTATGATTGGGAGTTCACTTTATCTTCAGTCGCAAAACACAATCTAAGTCGTTTTACATGGTATTGTGAAAAAGACACGTGA